ATCTTCTTCTTCTTCCTCCTGCTCCTCTCCCCCTCCTCGTCCTCCTCTTCTTCTTCGCCGTCCTCCCTGTCCTCCTCCTCCTCCTCCTCCTCCTCCCCCTCCTCCTCCTCCTCCTCTGAGAATGTGCCACGTGGCACTTGCTGTTTTTTTTTTGGACCCGCCATAACTTCCCTCTTCTCCTCCTCATCTTCTTCTTTCTTGTCCTCCACGTCCTCCTCTTCTTCTTCCTCTTTCACCACATCTTTCTCCTCCTCCAATCGCCGCTGCTTCCCCCATCGCCGCTGCTGGCCCCAACGCCACCACCACTGCCTATGACGTCTTTAGCGCTGGCCCCAACGCCGCCACCGCTGTCCTCAACGCCGTGACCAATGCTGCTCCCCCCTTTGCCACTGCTGCAGGTTTTTTTTTCTTTTTTTCTTTTTTTTGTATTTTTTTTCCAACCAGCCAATCAATCAATCAATCAATCAATCAAACAATCAAACAATCTAGTCAATCAATCAATCAAACAATCCAGTCAATCAATCAATCAATCAATCAATCCACACACACACACACACTTTTTTTTTTTTCCAAAACTGTGCGTGCCCCATAGTGGCTTCTGACACGCGCACCCAGGTGGGGGGCGTGCGTTCAGTTTTCTCCCACTGTATGACACGTGGCGCGTTTGAACGTGTTTGAACGCTCGCATGCGCGCTATGACAAGCGTTTGAATGTGAACGCGCATCAAACGCGTTCAAACGGTTACATAGCCCTATGCTGGGGTTACAGGGCATCACCATGCCCCATTACCGACCAGCCTGGTATAGACGGCAAGAAGTGCCTTTTTTTTTTTTTTTTTTTTTCAATTGGACATGCTCCAATCTATTCGTGGGGAGCAACATGTGCTGGGAACTGGGCCCAGCGTCCCATTGAAAACCATATTGAGAAGATCATGTAAAAAACTTTGTGTTACCGGGGCCATTACCCGACTTCGGCTAAAGATGATAGCTATGCAATCTACACAGAGAGTTAGGTTCTCTAGGGATTGATCATGGGAATATTCAGACCGACCACTTACCTTCAGCAACTGTCAGCAGCTCAACCCTATCCGCTTCTCCCCTATACCCCGATACCCAATCTCTACCAGGCCTCCCACCCCCAACTGCTAGGTTACAGAGTGGCACGACCCACCCCAGAAACCCCCCACCTGCTAGGCTACAGGGCGAAGCGACTCGCCCCGGCTCCGGCCAGCGTCGACTAAGTAGCAGTTCACTAACTGTTACATCTTCGACGCCACACGGGTCCTACCGGACCCGACGTAGGGGTAGAGGGACACAGTAGGGCCAAAGGCCCGACCTTGCGGGGTACTACAGGCCGTAAAGGCCTCACCTTGGACCAGACCCGACGGGCAGGCCCAAACGACATTACCGTTTGGGCCTGGCGGCGCTCTTGAGGCTGCCGCCCGCCGGTTGGGGCTGAACCGTCCATCTGGACGGTTCAGGGCACGGCCAGGCCTCGCAGCATTGAGGCCGGCCTCTGCCCCATCGGTATAAAGAACCGGTCCAGCCTCAGTCGAAGGGATCGACCTACCGGCATTCTACCGGTACGGTATGGTACAGCGCGATACAGCGCTGGCGCTAAGTTTATCGCAAGAGCAGCGAGGAGCAGCAGCGCAGCATTAGCGCAGCAGCAGCGAGCGAGCAGCAGCAGCGGCGACTGGGTGTACCGGCGGCCATCGCCGCCTGAGGTATCGGGAGTTGGAGGCCTCTCTCCTCCCTCCCCTCGCCAGTTCCCTCTCTCTCTCTCTCTCTCCTCGGCTCCTTTCTTCTTCTCGTTCTTCTTCTTCTTCTTCTTCTTCTTCCTCTTCTTCTTCTTCTTCTTCTTCTTCTTCTTCTTCAAATTGGAGACATATACTAGTTGGACAGAGATCAGTGTTGGACTTCGGTGGTATGAGACTGTGGTACTTACCAGATTGGAGACTTGGAGATTGTTGGGGTCGATACTTGGCGGCATCACAGTTCGGACACCTGTTACATTTGGACTCTGTATCTCCGACATTGGTGACTGATTGTCCTCGACATTTTGATCTTGTTGGATGACATTTTGGACTACCATATCGGTGACCTATCGGATTCTATCTCGGTGACCTACCGGTGCTGTCTACCTCCCCCACCTCCGTCGTCTCTCCTCCCACCTTTCATCTGTGTATGCGTGTACGGGATCTGGGCATCGTCCATGCTTGGCCCAGACCCCACCATCTCACCATTGTATGTGTGTGGAGTGATTCTTGAGTCAGTCCATGTGAGTCAGTCGTTTTATCAGACTTCCGCTCCATATATGCTCATCCTAGATTGGTTGATCTTTGGTTCTGCCCATACTCATTGAAGTATGTAACAGTTTTGGTATCGGAGCAGACCAATTACGGATCTGCTCACCAGGTAAGACTGATTTAGGAATTAGATTGTTTCTTCAGTCTTCCAAATCAGCGCTGTATTACTATCAAGTTCAAAGTTGCAAATTTTGTTTTCTTTTTTTCGGTATTCTGTTTATTTCGGCACTTCCGTTTCAATTCAGTATTCGGACTTATTATTCGGATTTCTGTTTTACGCCGGTATGCTGTTTAATTAGGTTCCGAAATATTGATACTAATCCAACATTCTGTTTGATTCGGATTTGTGGTTAGTAATTCGTAATTAGGGTTAAATCAGTTTTCTGTTGATTTCGGTATTCTGATTTCTTTCGGTATTCCGTTTTTATTTTGGCATTCTGATTTTTAATCCGGTATTTCGTTTTACAAATCGGCATTTCCGTTTTATCGCAGTAGTGGAAATTAGGGTTACGGAATCTTTTGGTTTTACATCAACTTGGGGAATTCGAACGTTTTGGGGACCGTAAATCCGGAAATTCCGACGAAACGCGGAAAATTAGGGTTGGGACCGAAATTTTCGCGAATTTTTGTTTCGTTCCCCTTGTTTGAGAAATTCCGAAAACGGGTTTAGGCCTTTAAGAATCGAATTTTGACGGTGGAAATTCCCGAAAATTCACGTTTTTGAAAATTCGAGTGTTTTTCCCTAACTTTTTCCGAAATTTTTTTTTGGGCAAACCAATCCGAAGCTAACCCTCAAGTTGCAACTTCCTGGGTAGTTCACTCGTAAACGGTGAATTCCCGGACCGTATTTGATCTCAAAGGGACCTAATCTTGATACAAATTTTTTTTTTCATTACCATTATTGCAAATATTGCTTATTGATTATATTTATTGCAACTATTGCTTATTGATTATATTTATTGCAAATATTGGTTATTGATTATCTTTATTACAAACATTGTTTTATTGATTATCATTAGTAATTATTTTTTCTTATTAATCATTAATTAAATTATTGATTAAATAATTCGTTATTATTCTTCTTATTACGAATTTTTGAATTGTTTACGGAAAACTTATTTTCTGTTTGATTAGGTGTCTTAGTCCATCCTTGGGACAGGGACTGTATCTTGATTGCTTGATCTGTTCTATCCTTGTACCCACCCTCTCCCTCACACTGTTCTGCGATCCTTCGGACGAGCCAGTCTTCAGCAACAGTTTCTGATGCCAGCAGGGCCAGCCTCCAAACAGCAGCCACGACGCAGCAAGAGGATCGCCGATCACCAACAGCGACAGCAACCTCCAGTTCCGCAACCGCCACAGACCAGTACTCAGATGGCGAACACGCCACACAGCGGATCATCATCCGAGGGTTCGACAGCTAGTAATGCCGAACCCTTAGTTCGACAGCTAGTAATGCCGAACCCTTACCGGTCTGTCCGGTGCGAGGGTCGAATGAGCCCCTACCGGACTTCATTCAGATTATGCAGGACTATACAGCCGCACTCACCCAGGTCAAGGAACAGCACGAGGCTGCCACGACCAAAAGACTATGGCTAGCAGAGGAAGCTGCAGCACAAACCCGGCGTCAAGCCGAGGCAGACCAGTTGGCGATCGATCAGCTCAACGCCGGCAGCGCTGAACTTGTAAGTGCTAACCAAGCACAATGGACAGCGGTGCTCAACGGGATGCGTTATGTCCCGGCACCCGGCAGCGAGCCGACAACAGTACAGCAAGAGAGGCACGACCTGGCAGATATTCTACTCCATACAATGCGCGCCGTCATTTGGAACAGCTCCATGGGGGAGCTGCATTTCCGGTCCACACTGCAGCTGCAGCACGATCTGAGCCACAACGTGAAGATACTTGCAGGAGCTGTCAAGGTCGCGGACAGCCAGTTGAAACAGCTGGATGCACGCATTGCTACCTTGGAGGCAAGGCCTCCCCAAGCAGCGCCAGGCTGCACGCCAGATATGATAGACACAACGAAGCAGCTCAATGGGCGCATTGATCATGTCGTCAATCTCATCGGCGACATAGGTGTTTTCAATGGGCCGGACACGATCAGTAGCACGGTGGCCTCCATCAAGACGGACATCACCAAGCTGCAGACGAAACCGGATGCCACTACGAAGAACTACAAGATGCCGCACTTCGACATCAGCAAGTTCGACGACCACAACAAGACGGACGCTTTGGCATGGTGGCAACGTTTCCTCACGGAAGCATCATGCCGCACTGTCCCGGGCGACTATCTGATGAAGGCGTTATACATACAGCTGATTGGAGGAGCGCAGGCATGGATGAACCATCTGGCGGCTACCCACACATGCACCATCGCCGAACTTCACATGCACATTACGTGGAAGGATTATGAGAAGCTATGGTTCACCCGGTTCATGGCCCGCAACGTCGTGAAGGCGGCCATGAACGAGGTGTACACCTGCTCTCAAGGAAGTATGCCAACTCGAGACTGGACAACCAAGTGGCAGAAGATAGTGACCACGCCACGCTTCGATTTGACTTTTCCTAATCAACGATCCGAGTTCTTCTCGCGATCGTGCGCAGGATTGCGGTCGGCACTCGGTAACGAGTACAACTATACCTCGTTCCAGGCTATCCTGGATCGCGCAAACCTGGTAATCCAAACGGACGACAAGGCCGCTAACGAGAAACAATCCCAACCGCATTATGTGGCTAAGCATGACTATCAACGTCCGTCACATAACAATGCCGTGATTTCAGAAGAAACAGACGATCTCCACGCTGCAGCAGCATCCTGGAGTGATGGAGGAATTGTAGCAGCGCTCCCGCCGAAGCGTCCCAAGAGGGTCCGGAAACCCAAGGCGACACAAGAGACGGCATCGACGGGAACTGGGCAGCAGCCATGGACGGCCTACAACATCACCAAGGAAGTCTATGAACTTCGTCAAAAGTATAGATATTGCCTTTGGTGCAATGGAGTCACACACTTGACTGCACAATGCCCCAAAAAGGGCAAGGCACGCGTACTCTGTCCAGCAAACTCGGGAAACTGAGTTACGCAAGGAGAAGAGGGACGTCTCTCTTCACTCCGCCGGAACCGGTTGCCTTGCTAGCAATCGATGTCACTACCGGGGAGCATGCGTTAGTCGTTGATTCTCGTGCTACGTGCGAGGATTATGCCACCCAGCTGGTACCACCATTAGACCAGCCAAGCCACGTGCATTTAGCTAGCGTATGCGCAGCCTGTACACCGTCGGCAAGCGATCCGGTCAGTTCGCCACTGATTTTCGAGGACTCGACAACGTGGTCAAGACTTGAGAAGCTCGACCCGCTCACGAGAGAGGACTTCGCTTGGATGCCTCTTCCCTCGACCGCAACCTTGCCAAGGCCGCATTGCAACACCTTGATGGCAACTCTACGCTCCTATTTGCACACTACAGTACCAGCTCCGTTGACGGACGACGGAGTAGCGGTTGTCGATCTCCGCTCCTATCTTGAGAAGATTGACCACGAGTACGCCACCCAAAGGTACGCCGAAACCGACGCGCCTTTGCTTTATATCCGCATTCAAATCGGAAAGGCAACCTGTAGTGCCTTGATTGATTGCGGAGCGTCTCGCAACTTTATGAGCCAAGCCTTTATGGCCCGCGTAGGTTTTGGCCCGCGCGTTCGAAGGAAGACGCAACCTACGCAAGTTACACTCGCGGACGACCGCACGCAAAAGTCAATTGACCGATGCGTCGATGGCGTCCCGGTATACTTTGCGCCACTTGCGTGCAAGCCGGTGTCTTTTGACATCCTCGACACCAAGTTCGACATGATTCTAGGCATGTCTTGGTTGTGTAGCGCCGATCATCCGGTGAACTTCCATGACCGAACCGTTCACACCCGTGATCGGAACGGAGTGTTAGTCCCATGTACGGTCGCAACCCCTTACACTTCGATTGCTTGTCACGTGGTTTCCGTTGCGAGAATTCGCGACGCCATWGCTCGGAATGACGTCGAGGAGATGGGCCTTGTATTCTTGCATGCTCTCCCCTCGCCGGACGGACCAGCCGCGTCACCGCCGGACCCACGCATTTCTCACCTCTTGGACGAGTATAGAGACGTCGTCGAGGCTCCCACCGGAACGGTTCCGGATCGGCCCATACGTCACGGGATCACTCTCGAGGCTGGCACCGTCCCTCCGCATGGATGTATCTACCGCATGAGCAAAGAGGAACTCGAGGTGCTTCGAGCACAACTCGATGACCTTCTCGACAAGGGCTGGATTCGCCCTAGTTGCTCGTCATACAGTGCCCCTGTTCTCTTCGTCCGGAAGAAGAACAAAGATCTATGGCTATGCATCGATTATCGGAAACTTAACGCACAAACCGTAAAGAACGCCGGCCCTCTCCCTCGGATTGATGATCTTCTTGAGCGGTTAGGCAGCGCGACGTACTTCTCGAAGTTGGACTTGAAGTCAGGTTACCACCAGATTGAAATCCAGCCTCAAGACCGGTACAAGACCGCGTTCAAGATGCGGTACGGGCATTTTGAGTGGGTTGTCATGCCCTTTGGCCTCACCAATGCCCCCGCGACTTTCCAAGCAGCGATGACGACTGAGTTTCGCGACTTGCTCGATCGCAGCGTCCTCATCTACCTTGATGACATCTTGGTTTACAGTGGGACGTTGGACGAGCACATCATACACCTTCGCGTTGTTCAAGATCGTTTGCGATTAGCCAAGTACAAAGCGAATCTCGACAAGTGCGAATTCGCCAAGCAAGAGCTTGAGTACTTGGGTCATTTTGTCACGCCGAAAGGCACTCGTCCCTTAGCGGACAAGATCCAAGCCATCGTGGATTGGCCGGAACCCCCGAACCCCGTTGTACGACGGATGTACGCTCTTTCATGGGTTTGGCTGGATATAATCAGCGATTCGTCGAGTCATACTCAAAAGTGGTCGCTCCTTTGTCGAGACTTCAGTCCCCGAAGGTGCCCTTCGAGTTCGACGACGCAGCCCGTGGCGCGTTCACTACGTTGAAGGCAGCAATGCAAGTCGCACCTGCCCTCCGTATATACGACCCCACCCTACCCACCCAAGTGACTACCGACGCTTTGGGATACGGTATTGGTGCGGTGTTGGAACAATGCCACGAGGACGGTTGACATCCGGTCGAGTATTTCTCCCAAAAGGTGCCTCTTGTAAACACTCTCGACAACGCTAGGAAGAAAGAGCTACTCGCGTTCGTCACCGTTCTCAAACGGTGGCACCACTTTCTTCTCGTCCGTCGGCATTTTAAATGGAATACGAACAATAATTCGTTGACCTTTTACAAAACGCAGGATACGGTCACTAGCACGATTGGTCGATGGATGTATTACATCGACCAGTTCGACTTTGACCCGTGCCACATTCCCGGTCCCGCCAATCGACCTGCGGACGCCTTATCACGACGGCCCGACTTTTGTGCCACTGTGACCACGGCATTCGACCTCGATGACGATCTACAGCCGCATTTCGTCAAAGGCTACAAGTCCAATCCGACTTACTCTACGCTTTACGCGGAGCTTTCATCGAATCACCCACCGGCTAGCCATTATCGGATTTCCGACGGGTTCCTTCTCCTTCGCACGGAGGAAAGGACTTGTTAGTTGTTCCCCAAGATCGCATCTTACGAACTCGTCTTCTCGGCGAATTCCACGACGCACGACTTTCGGCACACCTTGGCGTGAACCGCACACTAGCACGCCTCCGCTAGCGTTTTCACTGGCCCGACGTCCTTCATGACGTCACGAGGTACATTGAGTCATGTGCAGTTTGCCACCGTAACAAGGGTCGATCTGGAGTCCCCTTCGGCGAACTGAAACCATTGTTGATCCCTCGGGCACCACGCCTCTCCATTGCTATGGACGTGACAGGCCCGTTTCCCCGCGATCGCCACTTCCATGACGGTATTCTCACGGTCGTTGACCGTTTGAGCAAGTATGCTCGCTTCCTTCCTTGCAAGTATCATGCTGCAGCGCCCGAGCTCGCACGACTCTTGCACACCGGTTGGATTACCAACCAGGGTGTTCCGGAAGACATAGTGAGCGACCGAGATACTCGGTTCATGTTGGCCTTTTGGACTTCCCTCATGGCTGAGTCCGGTACGACAATGAAGCCGAGCTCGGCTCGGCACCCGCAGACGGATGGCCAGACGGAGCGAGCGCACCAGACCGCTCAGATGATGTTGCGTACGCTCATCCGTCCCAACCAGAAAGATTGAGTTGACCGGCTTCCCGACATCGAGTTCGCCTATAACACTTCGGTGCACCCGGCGATCTGCGTCACACCATTCGAGTTACATCATGGTGGAGAGAAAGCACGGATCTTCACTGATCTCCTTTTGCCACAGGCTGCCGACATAGACGTCCCTTGCTCTCCCGCTTCCGTTCGGAAGTACCGGGATCAGAGCCCGCGCAAATATGCAAAAGGCTCAGATCCGCATGCAGCAGCAGGCTAACCGACGTCGACTTCCGACATAGACGTCCCTTGCTCTCCCGCTTCCGTTCGGAAGTACCGGGATCAGAGCCCGCGCAAATATGCAAAAGGCTCAGATCCGCATGCAGCAACAGGCTAACCGACGTCGACTTCCATGTCWTTTCCGYGAGGGAGACCTTGTTTGGGTCCTCTTCGAGGAATTTGCGCTCGAACAGGACGTTTCGCGCAAACTCCTTCCGAGATGGTTCGGACCATGGGAAGTCACTTCTGCCGTTGGAGACGACCCTGCGGGTCCTTCCTTCGTGATCAACATTCCACCGCACCTTACAGTGCATCGGGTCTTCCACGCGTCGAAGCTGGCCATCTACACGCCACCTTCAGCTGACGAGTTTCCCGGACGTCGATCACAGGATCCGCCTTCTATGGACGTACATCAGGAAGTTGACCGAGTCATCACGCACCGCAAGTATGGCAACAAGCCAATGCAGTTCAAAGTCACATTCAAGCAATATGCGCCTGATAACACTCGGTGGATCTCCAGTACAGATTTGCAGACTTCTGCACCCCTTATCTTCGCCAACTATGAGAAGCGACGCCTTGCTAAGGAAGCCGCTCGTCCCGCCCGACCCACCCTGGTATCGGAAAGACAACTTCGCCCTCGCAGGTAGCTCGGACTTTTAAGAGGGGGAGTGTGTTATATCTTCGACGCCAATCGGGTCCTACCGGACCCGACGTAAGGCTAGAGGGACACAGTAGGGCCAAAGGCCCGACCTTGGGGGGTACTACAGGCTGTAAAGGCCTCACCTTGGACCAGACCCGACGGGCAGGCCCAAACGACATTACCGTTTGGGCCTGGCGGCGCTCTTGAGGCTGCCGCCCGCCGGTTGGGGCTGAACCGTCCATCTGGACGGTTCAGGGCACGGCCAGGCCTCGCAGCATTGAGGCCGGCCTCTGCCCCATCGGTATAAAGAACCGGTCCAGCCTCAGTCGAAGGGATCGACCTACCGGCATTCTACCGGTACGGTATGGTACAGCGCGATACAGCGCTGGCGCTAAGTTTATCGCAAGAGCAGCGAGGAGCAGCAGCGCAGCATTAGCGCAGCAGCAGCGAGCGAGCAGCAGCAGCGGCGACTGGGTGTACCGGCGGCCATCGCCGCCTGAGGTATCGGGAGTTGGAGGCCTCTCTCCTCCCTCCCCTCGCCAGTTCCCTCTCTCTCTCTCTCTCTCCTCGGCTCCTTTCTTCTTCTCGTTCTTCTTCTTCTTCTTCTTCTTCTTCCTCTTCTTCTTCTTCTTCTTCTTCTTCTTCTTCTTCAAATTGGAGACATATACTAGTTGGACAGAGATCAGTGTTGGACTTCGGTGGTATGAGACTGTGGTACTTACCAGATTGGAGACTTGGAGATTGTTGGGGTCGATACTTGGCGGCATCACAGTTCGGACACCTGTTACATTTGGACTCTGTATCTCCGACATTGGTGACTGATTGTCCTCGACATTTTGATCTTGTTTAATGATATTATGGACTACCATATCGGTGACCTATCGGATTCTATCTCGGTGACCTACCGGTGCTGTCTACCTCCCCCACCTCCGTCGTCTCTCCTCCCACCTTTCATCTGTGTATGTGTGTACGGGATCTGGGCATCGTCCATGCTTGGCCCAGACCCCACCATCTCACGATTGTATGTGTGTGGAGTGATTCTTGAGTCGGTCTATGTGAGTCAGTCTATGTGAGTCAATCCGTTTATCAGACTTCCGCTGCATATATGCTCATCCTACATTGGTTGATCTTTGGTTCTGCCCATACTCATTGAAGTATGTAACACTAACAGACACTAGAGTGCCTTCCACCCTCGACAACTCCCCAGATCTCTCTACCAGGTCTCATGCCCCCGTACCGCTCAGGTTACAGGGCACCGCGACCAAGCCCCAGCACCGACCAGCGTCGTTCTGACCTCGTCCATTCGTAAACCAATGGGACCTAGGACATCAGCAGATACCAGACAAGCCACCAATCATTGCCTTAGCTATAGTTCCGATCATCCACTCTTTCAAGCAGTCGCTGCAGACATCCAACCAAAAAAACCATCTCAACCTTAATCCGGCAAGACTTACTGTGGTAGAGTTACCATCTCCACCGCTACTGTACCCTATTTCCACCCTACTGGCTAGCCCCTTCGCCGTAGAGCGCATTATCTCCAACCATCTCCCAAAACACAGTCCGTTGCAACCAGCATCAAAATTATGAAATTTTTTCCTATTACAACCTCAAAAATCACAAGAATTAGGGAACTAAAACACAAATGCAGGAATCGTAACCTAAAAAGACAGTCAACACCTATTCTTCCTACAAGGATAGAGGACGGGAGGGAACTACTTCTCTCCCCATGGAAATTCCTACGCCTATTCATTTCTCTGCTGAATGTAAATGGCTCACAAGAAACCACGCGGATTACTCCTCCCCCCAAAAAAACGAACTCCCGTCCTTTCACTACCTCCGCTGGAAGGCGCCCCCTCACCTCCCAACCCCAGTTCAGAACAGCCCCCTAAATCACTCCTGCTCCCTGAGCAGCATGCTATACCCCCTAGAGCATGCCCCCGCAGAGTTGAAGATCCCCCTTCCCTCGTGCCTCACCCCCTCCAATTGAAACACCTCTCAACTTCTCACCTTGCTGAAAACAACACGGCCCCTTGTCCTCCCTCCCAACCGCCGTGGCTGATCCGACCCAAATCAGCCTAGACCAATAGAGAATAAACCCACAATACTGGCCCTACCCTCTCAAGGATCACACCTCCCACCTTGTATAACCCTCGCAGGGAGGGGTTCCAAACCCTGAAGGAAATAATTCAATCAGCACCTATGAGCCCAAATCCTACAATATCACAACTTGGGGAGTTGTCGAGGGTGGAAGGCACTCTAGTGTTTTTTCGTGAGTTGGTGCCTAGCCGATGCTGGCCGGTGCCGGGGCGGGTCGCTTTGCCCTGTGGCCCAGCAGGGGGGGGGTTTCTGGGGTGGGTCGTGCCACCCTGTAACCTAGCAGTTGGGGGCATGAGGCCTGGTAGAGATTGGGCATCAGGATATAGGGGTGAGGCAGGTAGGGTTGGGTTGCTGAAAGGCTCTAAAGTAGGTAGTTCTTTCGTTCCGAATGCTCCTTTGATCCGAGCTTTGGAGGCTAGAGAATTTTTTAGTGTTTTTGTACATAGTTCTCTTTCTTAGCCGAAGCCGGGTAATGGTCCTGGTACCTCAAGGATTTTCCCATAAATTTCTCAGTTTCTCAATATGATCTTGAATAGGACGCTGGGCCCGATTCCCAGCACGTGCAGCTCCCCACGAATAAATTGGAGCATGTTCCCTCACAAAAAAAAAAAAAAAAAGATTGTGATCAGTATTCTGGAAATCCTTCAAATAGGTGACATCAAATATCGAATTAAAAAAATAAGAGCCCAAACTTGTGCACACAAATACAGAGAAATACGTTGGATTTAGAATTAGATCAAAGATGGATAAACGTAGGACATAAATTCCACTTTGAGAAAATCAATTTGTAACCCTTTGTAATTCAAATTTTAGTAATCATTCACTGGAATCAGAGCAAAAATCTGATTTACAAATTTCAGATTAGGAATCTTGCTAAGAAAATATGAATTTAAGATTAAGAATCTTGCTCAGAAAATACGAATTTCAGATTAGGTATCTTGCTCAGAACAGAAAATACGAATTTCGGATTAGAGATCAATTACATTCAAAAAACACCTAAGATCCCATGAGTCAGATTTTTAACAAATCGTAGTTATAAAAATGAAATCATTAAAAAACAACCTCTGAAAAAATATCAGAAAAAAACAGCCACAACTCAAGAAAAATCAGAGAAAAAAAAACATGATGAATCAATAAACAGAAAGTGATACCCAAAGGACACAGCCCCAATCACAGACTCTAGCTCCAAATCAAAATAGAGACGTGGCAGCGACCTCATGCGATGCCTCTCGTGATATCCGTATCACAAAATTCCGTGGCGTCAACAGCTTGAAGATGAAACCGCCACCTACCGCCTCTTTCGTGATAAACAGACCGAGAAAAATACATCCTCCTCTACTTTACGTTAATCACATTGCCTTGTTGTCGCTAAAACACCGCAAGAACCTTCGTCGCCCAATCTCACCCCCTCCGTCTTCGTGGGAGGAAAGCAACCTCCCCGCTCCCCACGCTAGCCATGACAACTTCGCCAACATGCGAAGCCCTTTCACCAGCGAACAAAGTTGCACTAAATAGGCACCATTCTACAGATGCTATGGTCCGACCTCGTCGAGCCCGCCGAAGAGGGCCATAGGGGGTTCAAGCCACAAAAAAAACGTCAGAAAGCAACCTCCTGGGCGAAAAAGTCAGGGGGAGGAAGGGGGTGTGTCCATCCTGCTTGCCGCGTGCCTTCTCAGCGTTCGCCTCACCACCACCATCTCCACAGTTCCGACCTCCAGGGATCCTCCGCCATGCTCACCTGAACATCACCTCCGAACGCCAGCAAGGACGAGCCGGCGGCGCAGCGTTCCCGGTCACGTCGTGCCGCCACTCGAAAGCGGGTCCAACGTCCGACGGTTGTGTCCCTGGTTCCCCGACGATACTGGTGTCAAATCTTTTTTTGCCCCCTTTGTGTTCTTTTTTCGCTCTTCAAACAGCGGGAAGACCAATTGCTGAGAGGCCAGGGCCATTTGCCTCACACCTTCTTGCACGGGGCCAACAGAGAACAACAACAACAACGACAACGACAACAACGACAACAACGACAACAACAACAACAACAACAACAGCAACAGCAACAACAACAACAACAACAACAACAACAACAACAACAACAACAACAACAACAATAGAAGGAACAAGAACAACAAGAAGAGCAACAACACCAACAACAAGCAACGACAACAATGACACTAGCAAGAACAAAACTGAGACAAGTGAAAAAAGAAAGACACTTCTATCAAAGCCATTTCAATTTGTCGAAGCCCAAGGATGCAACTCTCATGTTTTGAAAAAGCAACTTGTGTTTCGGATCTTGATTCTCAGGTTTTTTATATTCGTAAATGAAGTCAAATTAAAAAAATAAAAATTTAGTGTTGTAGGGTTTTGCAGACCCTACAACCCCATATTTTTTATTATTTTTGACCCTCAAAACAATATCCAAACAATTGGGCCGCGAACTGGGCTTCCTGGCCGCGGCCGACTTTTTCGGTCGCGGCGACCAAATTGCCCGCGGTCGTGGCCGCGGCCGACTTTTTCGGTCGCGGCGACCAAATTGCCCGCGGTCGTGGCCGCGGGTGTCACCTAGCCATGCAGGTCTACCATGAAGGGGGAACCTCGAATAGGGTGATATGCCTAATTAAAGGCATACAGTGGCCGACACTAAGGTGATGAGGGTAKTGGGTGAGGGAAACATGACATTGTACACAAATCACCGCCTAGGAGGGATCCAGATCTGGGAGAAGGGAAGCCAAGATAAAGTTGTGGTCCCCAATTCTCCCAATGCCTATGCGATACCAAGAGAGAGTCCAACTCTGAGAGAACCAACTATAGGAGAACCATCATGTGATGCAGACAAGGGGATATACAGGGTTGGGTGATGGCGTGAAGGAGTCACGTCTAAAGAAGTTGAAGCTGGTGAAGTAGCTTAAGTCCTCGAAGTAGTCGATGACATCGATGAAGTAGGAATCAAGTTAATGTCGAAGCATAAATGCAAAATCCAGACATC